CGATGTTCCGTGAGGCAATGTGAGACTGAAGATGTTTTCCTGTATTCCTGACATTCGTAACGTTTCTCTCCTGTATGAATTCTTCTATGTTGAATGAGGGAACTTGAGCGGGAAAACGTTTTCCCACATTCCTTACATTCACAAGGTTTCTCTCCTGTACGAATTCTTTTATGAGAAATGAGTTTAGTTGATTGAGAAAAAGTTTTCCCACATTCCTTACATTCATTAGATTTCTCTCCTGTATGAATTCTTCTATGTTGAATGAGGTTACTTGACTGAGAAAACCTTTTCCCACATTCCTTACATTCATAATGTTTCTCTCCTGTATGAATTCTTTTATGTCGAGTGAGGCCATACGAGCAGGAAAACCTTTTCCCACATTCCTTACATTCATAAGGTTTCTCTCCCGTATGAATTCTTTTATGTCGACTGAGGCAACTTGAGCGGGAAAACCTTTTCCCACATTCCTTACATTCATAACGTTTCTCTCCTGTGTGCATTCTACAATGTTCCGTGAGGCAATGTGAGACTGAAGATGTTTTCCCGTATTCCTGACATTCGTAACCTTTCTCTCCTGTATGAATTCTTCTATGTTGAATGAGGTTATATGACTGGGAAAACCTTTTCCCACATTCCTTACATTCATAAGGTTTCTCTCCTGTATGAATTCTTTTATGTCGAGTGAGGCCATACGAGGAGGAAAACCTTTTCCCACATTCCTTACAATCATAAGGTTTCTCTCCTGTATGAATTCTTTTATGTCGACTGAGGCCACTTGAGTGGGAAAACCTTTTCCAACATTCCTTACATTCATAAGGTTTCTCTCCTGTGTGCATTCTACGATGTTCCGTGAGGCAATGTGAGACTGAAAATGTTTTCCTGTATTCAGGACATTCGTCACGTTTCTCTCCTGTATGAATTCTTCTATGTTGAATGAGGCAACTTGAGTGGGAAAACCTTTTCCCACATTCCTTACATTCACAAGGTTTCTCTCCTGTACAAATTCTTTTATGAGAAATGAGTTTACATGATTGAGAAAATGTTTTCCCACATTGCTTACATTCATAAGGTTTCTCTCCTGTATGAATTCTTCTTTGTTGCAAGAGGCAACTTGAGTGGGAAAACCTTTTCCCACATTCCTTACATTCATAAGGTTTCTCTCCTGTGTGCATTCTACGATGTTCCATGAGGTAACATGAGACTGAAAATGTTTTCCCGCATTCCTGACATTCGTAAGTTTTCTCGCCTCTATGAATTTTTTTATGTCGAATGAGTTTACTTGCTTGAGAAAATGTTTTCCCACATTCCTTACATTCATGAGATATCTTTCCTGGGTGAATACTCAGATGTGGAGTGAAGTCAGGTGATGCGGCACAAGTTTTCCCACATTCCTTATACATGGGAGGTGTCTCTACTCCATGAAGTTTTCTATGAGATGTCTGGTGACTTGATTGGGAAACTGGTTTCTCACATTCCTTACACCGAGAATGTTTTCCTCTTGTGTAAGTTTTCCTATGTTCAGAGAGGTCATGTGACCGAGGAAAGGTTTCCCCACATTGCTTAGGTTCAAAACTTATCTCTCCCATGTGACTTCTTCCCTGCGCCGTGATCTGACTTGATGGTGAAAATGCTTTCACACATTCTTTACTTGCATCAGGTTTCTCTGTGACATGTGTCCTTGAATATCTCCTTAGATGTAATAAAGAAAAACACACGATTAACACACTTTTGACATCGATACAGCCTACGTACACTCTGAATTTTTCCATCTGCTCTGATCTCTCAATGTCCTAGTACAGAAATAATAATTTTCCCATTTTCTGAACAATCATAAAGCTGACGAAAAGTGATAAATTTGTGTTGAAAAACTAAAGGAAATCTATTTATAGAAGTTTTTCATGTCTTTGTACATTGCCGATAGTCTACCACCTGCATCCACAGTGATGAGAAGGCACAGTAATCTTTGCTACATTTGTCAGATAAAATGCGTAGTCTCAGCAAGGTGAGTCTGCAACAGATGTACATCTAGACAATTTCCTTCCAAAGAGGGAAGATTGTAAATTCTGATGCAGCTTTCATGGGTGATTCTGTGCAA